TGGGTCGGAACATGTTCTAGCTCACCCACCAGATATGGGCTGGATGTAGGAATCCCAGGGGAAGAGCCTCTGGATTCTCACCCTGGTTCCTTCTGGTCTCAACTCGATGCCAGCCTGGCCACCATGGAGAGCCAAAGCTCTCTCTGTATTGTGGTCGTGCCAGGAGACCCAGTCGGGGATTGGGGCCCTGTTACCCGGGGTGCAGTGCGGTCCCTTCCCCTAAGAGACGGCAGGCGGGCCCGACAGAAGGAGAGAGCCCAAGCCGGTACCGTTGGCATGGATCATCCTCCAGCCACAGCCAGCCAGGGCCGTGTCTCCCCAGCCCTGCCCGTGGCTGGTGGTTCCGTGCCCTCGTGCCAGTCCCCTGCCCTCCGTCCCAAGGGGGGTAGATTGCGAGCAGCTAAGACGGCGCTAACCCTCCGCACCCATCCCTCGCCAGCCGACACTTGTGTAGCCGGAGAGCTGCATTTCAAGGCTCGCTGAGCCGGCTTTGGCTGTTTAATTGACAGGACCTGCCCTGGGCCCGGGGCTGGAAACCAGCAGCTCCTCTCCTGTTGGCCGTCAGGGTCTCTGAGGCAGCTAGAGACATTTCCTTCCCTCCCGGCTATACCAGAGCAATAGAGATGAAGGCCTAGATCCTCAGTGGTAGGTAAGCGCCTAACTCCTATTGGTTTCAATGGGAGTTAGGTGCCTAAATTCCATGGCCGTATCTCAGGCTTTAGCATCCTCCGGAGAGCAAGAGCCCTGCTTTGCTCTCAGCCTTGTCGCTGCGGCAAAATCGCCTCGACTCCCGCGACCACTGCTCTGAATCCCTCCTTAGGACTGTCACAGGGTGAGCTGGCCCTTTAAGGGGAGGCGGGCTCAGCCACACCTGGGCCAGGTGGCGCCTGATCCCTGCTGGCCCTATGGTCCTAAAGGGACTGACTTGAGCCCCTCCCCTCACTTGGGAAGGGGACTAAACCCCGCTCCTCTTAAAGGGCCAGCTCGCCCTTTGATGAGGACCTGGAACTGGGGTGGGCTTTCAAAGCCAGCTCGCTAATTGGTTTCCTGCTAATCAGATTTATCTTGCAGCCCTGACAGCTGGGGCTGGGGGCAGTCAGATCTCAGGTTCCAGGGCCTAGCTGATCTCTCACCCCGGGGTCAGGAAGGAATCCCGGCCCCCGGCCCACTGGCCAGGTGCATTCTGGGCTTTTCTTCCCACCACGCAGCAGATATCGGCTGCTGCTGGGGGCAAGATGCCGAACCTGACGGGCCAATCGCAGCGGCTGAGTTTGTCCCAATCTTGGTAGCTGATTTGCTGCTTGAGCGGTTCCGCACCAATCAGGCTGGGGGAGGGGTGATGTCATAGCCGGGAAGGGTTGTTACTGGTGCCGAGACAGGATTTGCCCAGCAATACAGTGGCCGAGTGTTGCACCAATAGGCCCGCCGGGTGGTGGGGGGAAGCAGCAGCCCCATTGGTCACCGTTGTGGATAAAGGTGCACAGGCATCTTTGCACGACTTTGAAGTGCTGCACGGGCACTTTGCACGCCCCGTACGTGCACGCCCGGCTTCCAGAGGGGGACCCCGCTAGAGCATCCTTCAGGGCAAAGGGAGACCGAATCCACAGGGCAGAGATTTGCACCGACCGGGTGCAAGGCCCGGGGCAAAGGAGAATTAGGTCCAGTCTGGCTGAAGCGGGTCCAGGCGGTGGCATGACACTGAGCCAAAGAGCATCAGGCAAACTCCTGCCTGGCGGGATCCATCAGGCTGTGACGTAGTTCTCCAGCACTTGATCTGGGGCCAGGCTTTCAAAAGAGTTCAGGTCCTTTTGAGGCACCTGAATAGCCCGGGGTGACCCCCACGGCTGGATTATCGGAAGAGCTCGCAAACTGCCTAAAGGGGAAGCTGTGCTCTAGTGCAAATGTTGGGTGCTGCTCTCTGGCCCTTCATCCCGGGGGGGGGCGGAGGCTGTTGAGACAAGAGAGCAAGGGGACGGTGGCTGAAGTGGTGCAAAAGGAAGAGGGTTTTGTAGCTTTCCAACCCAAAGTGACGTACAGCCCCCAGCAGCCTGCCCGGCACTGGTTTCCTCCGGCCCCCAGCAAAGCATGGCAGAAACCTCGAAGGACCTTCACTGGGCTGTGGCCCGTGGTCCTGCTCGAACTGGTGCTGGGATTCTCCTTCGTTAACACTAAAGGGGGGGCGGGTTGTGTCAGGGGAATGCTCGGTGACGCTCGTCAGGCGCCCAGCCAAGCGCGACCAAGCCAGTGGGTGCCTGCAGGTGCCAGACTGTGGCTTCTCCCAGCCTGCTTGATGCTGTCACCCGAGGGCCGTGTGCCAAGGTGGGGGGGGGCTGCCAGGCTCCCCCCGCCCTTCCCTCCCCACACCTGCAAACCTGGCGTTGTGTTTGCCATCTGGGCACGGCCGGGGGGCAGCGTCCGAGGCTCGGTCCCGAGCTCCCTGCTCCTCCGAGGGCGACCCCTTCCCCTGCCGCGGCCCAGTCCTCATCGCAGGCCGCAATCCCTCGCATGTGACTGTGTCTCCAGCAGGGGGCAGCGTCTCCAAGGAGGCCTGGGCAAGGTGGCAGGGTGTAGTGGGACTTGTCGCACGTGGCGACGGGCTGTTTCGCCCGGCCCCCTCCAGGGCTGCTACGGCCGCTGGCGCAGAGCCGACGCGACGTGCCCGTAGGGAGCAGCGTGGGTCTGAGTGGGGGGCATCAGGAACTACCCAAGAGCACGATTTCTTTGTGGATTGGCCTGACCCGTGTCCCAGGATCCAGGGCCCCCGTCCCGCCCCTGACCGAGAGGACGGGGCATCTGCTTCGTTCGGGGCTGGTGGCTCCCGAATACTCCGAACCCAGGGGTTCCCCGCAGCTGTTCTGAACCCCAGTCACTTCCCAGCTTCAGGGCAGGCCGCGAACCATCCAGATTTTGCCTCCTTGCCAGCGTGGGGCGTGCAAGAGGGCCCATGCCGGTCGTGTCCACTCCTCTCTGTCATGGGCTGGAGTCCTGTGATCGCCGAGGCCAGAGGGCCATGCCAAGTGACAGCAGAGCTTACATAACCACCCGAGATGACGGCGCCAGCCCGAGGCAGAGAGAGTCGAGCCTGTCGCTGCGACTCACAGCGCCGGGCAATCACCGAGTCAAGGCGGCCGCGGGGGAGGAGGAGGGCGGATTGCAGACCCAGTCTCGCTGGATTCTTCGGCTAACCCAGCCCCTTGCCCCTGCTTTTTACTGTCTCTCGCCTGAGACTGAAGGGGGGGGGGGGCAGTTTACTGGTCTCCTGCCCCCTGCCTCATCTGTCCCTGTGTCCCTGCAGCACTGGGATAGTCAGAGATGCCTAAGGGAGTTAGGCACACAACTGGCTTTCACTGGGGCTTGGGCGCTTCGGAGAGACGGATTCGATGCCCTTTGCTTTACCACCTCGGACAAGTCACTTAGCTACTCTGTGCCTCAGTTTCCCCATCTTTCAAATGGGGATAACACTCGGGGGGCGGGTTGAAGAGCATGAGGTGCTCAGATAGGGTGGTGCTGGGAACAATACGGGAACCCAAGATAGCCACGGACATGCCTTACCAGGATGTTAGGCAGGTCGGGTAGCATCCCCCGTTGGGGGCCAGGGCATGAGAGAGAGACGCCCCTAGGTGGGGGCGACGGAGCTGTCAGCTGGCAGGAGTGGGGTGGCACCAGCTGGAAGCCGTCCACCGTGGGACCAGCGGCCAGGGTGACTGCATGGGAGATGGCACCCGCGGGTACCTGGCTGTCAGGAAACAGCCTCAGCTCCAGGACTCCAGAGCCAACGGGGCTGTAGCCAGGGCCCTTGTCTCTCCAGGTCGCTCGGCAACGCGCCGGGCACTGTTGCTTAGCAACTGTTCCATGGTAACCCAGAGAGAAGGAATGAGTTCCACTGTGCGGAGCCCGGCTGGGCGAAGCCCATGGCAGGGCCTGTCCTGCCGGCGGCAGCCTGGGCCCAGAGTCGCCCCAGAGCCCAGACCCTGGGCTGGGGCAAACCAGCAGAGAAAGGACATTAACCAGCTCCCCCCTCCCCCCGGCTCTCTGAGACGCGGGCGAGACCCCATCACTGGGAGCCAAATCCAGCCAGACGCAGCACTGGGTGGATGCTGCCCTCGCTTTCCACAGGGGCCAGTATATACCGTGTGGTGGACCCGCGGTATCCATGCTGGTCTATATGGGAAGGGGTAGCGTATATATGGGGCTAGTATATATAGTGAAACTGGGTCCTGGATCCATGCTGGGCTATACGGGGCAGCGGAGTATATATGGGGCTGGTGTCTATAGTGTTTGTGGTGTGCAGCGGAGTGTATATGGGGCAGTACGTACAGTATAGCCCAGAACTACGTCCGTGCTGTTGCGTCCGGAGCCGGGGTGGGTCTGCGTGGCGCTGTGGGGCGGTGCCGTGGTGGCAGATCCCGCAGCCGTGCCCCCCCCCCCCCCCCGTGTAAATGCCTCGATGGAGTTTTGCTCCGGTCGCTTTCCCGCGGCGCTCTCCAGCCGCTGATCGGTGTCTCTGTCATCCAGGGCTCAATAACCCAGTGTCTGCCCGAGCGGCCAGGCCTGGATGTAAATAGCCTCTCTGTGCTGCGTCGCCGCGTCCGGGCGCCCCCTGGCTCCATTCAGCTTCCAGCGTAAAGACCCAGGCTCCAGGCCCTGCCGTCCCCAGGCTGGCACCACGCCCTCCCCCCGCCTCCACTTCCCCCCCGGGGGCATGGGGGAGCTGCTCCCTTAGCAGAGCGCCAGGCCCCCTTGGCCAGCCCAGCACTCAGGTACACACCGAGGCGGCCTGATCCGGAGCCCGGACGCCTGCCTCAAGGCCCCTTCTCACCAGTCTGGCTGATGTGAAGAGGCCAGAGCCCCAAATTCCCTGGTGGTTCAGAGCTGGGTCCGTCCCTTCATCACCACGGGTTGGGGCTCTGTCGCCGGGGGGAGCGGGCGCCAGCACTGAGCTGCCTGGCCCACCAGGGGCATCTCCGTGGGCCTCATGCCCCCTTTCTTTCTCTCCTCAGAGGCCATAGCAAACAGCCAGGAATGGACCCTCAGCCGCTCCATCCCGGAGCTCAGACTGGTAGGTGTCTCGTTGCCCCCCCGTCGCCCCCCCTCCAGCCACCAAGCAGGCGGGATATACGGAAACATGGGATTTATGGCAGTGAGACCCGACCCCCAGGCCTGGGTCGTCCGCCCCCCCCCCACCGCACCGTTCTGCCCCTCAATCCCGACCGCAGCCCTGGGGTCCCCCCACAGCTCTGTTGGTGCCCCTCAAACACAACCTGCAGCCCCCAGTCCTGGGCTCCCACCCCCCAACCTCTGCGGTGCCCCTTTATCCTGACCCACTGCCCCCTGCCCTGGGCTCCCCCCCAGCTCTGCCGGTGCCCCTTAATCCCGACCCACAGCCCCCAGTCCTGGGCTCCCCCCGAGCTCTGCTGGTGCCCCTCAATCCCGACCTGCAGCCCCCAGTCCTGGGGTCCCCCCACAGCTCTGCTGGTGCCCCTCAATCCCGACCCGCAGCCCCCTGCTAGCCCATGGCACCGAGCCTGGCAGCTGACACTTGGCATCAGTTCAGACGCCCGAGCTCAGAGGCCCTGTGACTCGTGCCGTGGGATGCGCCCGGGGGGGCTGTAGAGACGGACGCCGCCCCAGGCCTGCTCCAGGACACGTGGAGCTCCCAGCTCAGTCACAGGGGGCAGCAGAGAACTCCGGGGGGCCCCCCAGTGGGGGATGGGGGAGGGATTGGGGGTGCACTGGGCTCCTGGACACAAGAGAGTTCTTTCCCTCCTGCCGCACGCAAGGGAGAGCCGGTCCCCTTGCCCCTTGGCCAGTGACCCCTGGGGGGGCCAGGCTGGGGGGGGGGGGGCTGGGGGGGGGGGGGGGGAGGGGCGGGGGGGGGTGGGTTGGGGGGACACTGTCTAGCACAGGACGGAGCGTGACCTGCCATGACCTCTGCCCTTTGGCCTCCCAGGGCGTCCTGGGGAGCATCAAGAGCGGGAAGTCGGCCCTCGTCCATCGCTTCCTCACCGGCTCCTACCTGGGCCTGGAGCCAGCCGAGAGTGAGTGCTGGGGGGCGGGCGGGGCGGGCGCGGAGCCGTGTGCTGGGCTGGGGCCCCACCCTGGCCTGGCCCTGCCTCCGGCTGCTCCTCTCCTTCTGGGCCCTGCAGAGACCAGCAGGGGTGTGTCGGGGTGTGGGCATCCAGGCCAGCAGAGCGGAGAATGTGCCGGTTCCGTGGCCGGACTTTGCCAGTTCCGTGGCCAGACCCTGCCGATTCCGTGGCTAAACTGTGCCGGTTCCGTAGCCAGGTCCTGCCGGATCCGTGGCTAAATCATGCCAGTTCCATGGCCAGGTCCTGCCGGTTCTGTGGCTAAACCATGCCAGTTCCGTGGCCAGGTCCTGCCGGTTCCGTGGCTAAACCGTGCCGGTTCCGTAGCCAGCTCCTGCCGGTTCCGTGGCCAGACCCTGACGGTTCTGTGGAGAGATCCTGCCGGTTTCATGACTAAACCATGCCGGTTCCGTGGCCAGATCCTGCCAGATCCATGGCTAAACCGTGCCCGTTCCGTGGCCAGATCCTGCCGGTTCCATGGCCAGGTCCTGCCGGTTCCATGGCTAAACCGTGCTGTTTCTGTGGCCAGACTGTGCCAGTTCCATGGCCAGATTGTGCCGGTTCCGTGGCCAGACCCTGCCGGTTCCATGGCCAAACTGTGCCAGTTCCGTGGCCAAACTGTGCCAGTTCCGTGGCCAGATCCTGCCACTTCCGTGGCCAGACCGTGCCCGTTCTGGGGCCTGAATGTGCCCCTCAGCCTAATTTTTGCCATACCTGGATTTTCTCCTAACTGGGCATTTCCCAGCAGGGCACCTTGACCTCTCCCCTCCTCCCCTGCCCCCGCTAGTCCCACGTGGGACGGCCCCATCGGGTGCATTGTGGGGAGCACCCTGTGTTGGCTCTGTCCTAGCTGGGCCCCCCTGCCTGGCTCTGTGGATCCCCATCTCCCACCACTCCGTTCCCCTAATGGGCAGCTGCTGCCCGGGGGTGGGTGCGGGGCACTGGCCAGCTGCTGGCACCGAGGGAGCTGCACACAATGGCCCTGATTGAGTCCCGCGCAGCTGACGGGCTGGGCACAAAGAGCTGGCGGCAGCTTCCCCCCGGCCATTGTCCAGGGCCCGAATGGGCCCAGATTAGACAGAGGGGCTAAGTCACCAGGGCCAGCAACCGGCCAGTCGCAGCCATTAGCCCCCAGCCCGTCCACACACGGGCCCTGTGCCCAAAAGGCGTCGGCCTCCAATGTCCTCTTTGCTTCTGTAGTCCACAGGCCTGGCCCTGCAGGGGAGTGCGTGGCACTGGCGCCCCTCACTCCTGACCCACAGCCCCTGCTCTCCCAGCCCTGGGCTCCCCACCCCCAGCTCTGCCGATGCCCCTCACTCCCGACCCACAGCCCCTGCTAGCCCAGCCCTGGGCTCCCCCTTCTACAGCTCTGCCAGCGCCCCTGTCTCCCGGCCCACAGCCCCTGCTCTCCCAGCCCTCCTGGGCTCCCCACCCCCAGCTCTGCCAGTGCCCCTCACTCCCGACCCGCTGCCCCCTGCTAGGACTTTTGAGCAGAGGCCAGTAACTTGAGCTTAGCGTCACCTCGGGGGCTGATTTTGTGACCCCAACAAACGCCTCCCCCGAGCTCTGGGGCGAGGCTGCCCGTGCCCGGGAGGGAGCTGAGCCCGTCGTGGGCAGGCAGGGGCCGTCGGGCACAGGGGCCCTGCTCAGTACCTGCTCTCTCCCCCTCTCTGTGGATCCAGGCGGACAGTTCAAGAAGGAAGTGGTGATGGACGGGCAGAGTCACCTGTTACTGATCCGAGAGGAAGGGGGTGCCCCGGACGTCAAGGTAACCGCTGGGGGAGGGCTGGGGAGGGGGAGCAGCCGCAACCTGGGGGGGGGGGGGGGGGGGGGGCGGGGGGGGGCCGGGGGCGGGGCCCGGGCCCCGGGGGGCCCCCCCCCGGGGACGCCCCCGCGGCTCGGGCCCCAGGGCGGGGGGGGGGGGGTTCCCTGGTTGGGTGTTGGGGACCCCTCCCCCCGGCACAGAGAACCAACCCCCCTTCCCGCTCTCTCCCACCCCACACACACAGTTTGCCAGCTGGGTGGATGCCGTGGTCTTTGTGTTCAGCCTGGAGAACGAAGACAGCTTCCAGGAGGTCTCCCAGTACTACAACCTCCTGACCAGCTACCGCAGCCCCTCGGAGGTGGCCGTGGCCCTGGTGGGCACGCAGGGTGAGTGGGGCGTGGCAGGGCTGGGGCCCTGGGCAGCGGCGGGGAAGATGGCACGCCCAAAGTGCGCGCTCGCTGCAGGCCGTCACGATGTAGGTGGTGGATATGTGAGGCAATCCCAGGGGGGTTAGCAGGGGGCGCTGCACACAGGGAGTGGAGCAGAGGGTCACTGGGGGCGCTGCACACAAGGAGCGGGGCAGGAGGTTACTAGGGGGCGCTGTACACGGGGAGCGGGGCAGGGGGTCACTAGGGGGCGCTCTCCCCTCGCAGTCAGCGCTGGCCCCCATAGCCCCCAGGATCCAGAGGCGAGAGCTGTATCTGGTGCATTGGGCATTAACCCTTCGCACGCCATCGCTCCGGAGCGTCTTTCCCCCTCCCTGGCCGGGCGCCCGGCTCGTGACTTAGTCCCCACCCCGAGGACCCTCGCGGGGGGCAGCACCCGGCCGCCAGAGGGGGGCGGTGGTGTGGAGCTGGGTGGTGCCTGTCCACCCCATCCGTCCGTCCGTCCGAGTGAGATGGGGCCGTTCTTTCTCCCACCCCCCAGACAAGATCAGCTCCACCAACCCCCGGGTGATCGAGGACCCGCAGGCCCGGGCGCTCTGCAGCGACATGAAACGCTGCCTCTACTACGAGACCTGCGCCACCTACGGCCTCAACGTCGACCGGGTCTTCAGTGAAGGTAACCGCTGGCCAGGGGGGCTGAGCTGCTCCTTCCGTGTCTGCCATGGGCGGGGCCTGGCTCCTGTGGGGCCGGGTGTTGTCCCACAAACTTATACAGGATCGTTTTAGGGGTCAAGACAAAGATGCCACATTTATTATTAATCTG